ATTGTATGCCAGATGAATGAAGATAATCTAAAAAAAAGCAAAATAAATAATTAAAGGGTACCTGCAATAAGGGAAATTTGATGGAAATTAAGCTAATCATCTGCCGTGTTTGTTGAGTATCAGGTGCAAAAGCTATATATTCTCCTTCGGCCAATAATAATTCCAAAACTTGTTGGAAATTAGGGGATATACCTTTGCCTATCTCCACTAACATATCTTTCCTTATATATCTAAACCACTTCAATAACAATCAGTTCATCATCGAAAAAAGAAAAAACCAAAAAAAAAAAAGATAAAAAATGACTTACGACTGAGCTGGATGAATTTGGGTATCAACACGCGTCCTTATAACTATTAACGATAAAATTACTAGTGTAGGAAGTAAAATCTGCAACATCCAACAAAAAAAAGAAACAAAGTCAACAAAAAAAAGATAGAAAAGAATAAAAACTGAAGAATTTGAATAAGAATTTAATAAAAAAAACAAAACAAGAATTGAAACCTCAGCAGCAGTGATAAAAGGGTGACGAATCTTAAGAAGCCAGTTTTTCCGAAGCATAGCTTTCAGTTGCCTCTTTGAAGTCCCCATTTTTTTGGATTTTTTTTTTAAATTAAAGAAGCTGGAAATCAATATTAAACCAAGAGGAGTAAAAGGAAAGTCAGAAGAGGAAAGGGAAGGAAAGACAGAGGTGGTGGGAAGAGAAGGTGGCTAAACTAAAAGTTTTTTTTTTTTTTGTGTTAAGAACGGCCTCTGGAGACGAGAAAAAAAAAATGTTATTAACGGGAAGGCACAGTGAAGAAGAAGAAGACTAAATTTTTTGAACGGCGGTTAAGGGTAAGTGAATTAGAAAAAAATCCAAAGCATCGAGTTTCTCGGTAGGGCCCATGCCATGGGTGGCGTCTTTGAAAGAATCGCAGGGATTTGGCTTTGAATGATTTTCAAAAGAATCGAACTCGAGTGGGTTGTTGGATACAGGAGACCTTGAATTTTTTTCCACGTGTCATTCTATTTTTTTCAACATTTTTTCGTTAAAAATTAAAATATTAGATTTTTTTAATGATAATCTAATTATTATATACATAATACAATTGTTTTTAAACTTTTTTAATCATCATTTTGTTAAATTTTAGATGAAGATTGAATCTTAAATTAATTTTTATTATCTTTATGTGTTTGAATTGCTTTCAATTTAATAGATATCACATTTATTTTATTTTATTTTCACTTTAATGTAATTGTCTTTAAAATTAATGACTAATTAATACTTTTCATGTGCCCAGGGAGTTAAAGAGATGAATTAAAAAAAAAAAGAAAAAAACAAATATTGTATTATAATTTTTTTAAAAAAAATAATATAAAATATGTGAAATTATTAGGGTCTAAATCCAATAATGTTAAATTAAAATAATTGAAGCATGACTTGCACTAAAAAACAAGAACTAAAAAACGAAGAGAATTTGCTAATATTCTTCTGAGCTGTTTAATTGTGATTTTGAAAACAATTTTTTTTAAATTATTAATACATGTGTACATGGTGTCATTCAAGACGTGTCACATGATTATTGGTTGTGAGACAATAGGATGGGACCCTTTTTTTTTTTACTTTAGCAATGAATGGTACCCCTTCGTAACGTTCAGTTTAGGCAGTTTCGGGTCTTCGTCGTCCATGACATCACGGATTTTTCGTGAAACCTCCTCGTCGGTTGTTGTTTATAGGATATGTCGCCGTCAAGTTAGGATATTCCGAAGCATTTCATTATATTCTAAAAAATATTAAATAAAGGGAATTTTAAGTAAATTAAAAAACTGAAAGTTACAGAAAGGAAAAAAAATATGTTTTGACGATATTTTTAATTTTTTTAATTTTAAAAAATATTTTTTTATAATCAACAGGGAAATACATAGTTTTAAAAAAAAAAAAATGTCCCATATATTGTTGAAAATTTTATTTCATTATACTTGTACTCTTAACTAAGAAAACAAATAGGTTAAAATAACTAATAATTATTGAAATAAATACATATTAATCAAGTATATTTATTTTTAGAATTAAATATATATATAATTAATGCATTGGATAGTATTTTTGTTATAAATAATATATAAAAAAAATTTTAACTTTTATTTTTATAAAAATTAATTTCAAAATTTCCTCTATATATATATTCCAACTATTAGAACTTGATATTCTAATTTAAATTTTTTTAGGTTTGAATCTTATAAAAAAAAAGTATGAAATTGATAAGATTTGAGAAAATTACCTTTCATTTTCTAACTTGACATCAGATGTTAAAAAAAAAAAAAGTCAAATTTGAAGTGGTTGGATATTGTTCAACTTATCTTGATTATATATTCACAACCAAATTAATTGTCAAATTAATAACATTGAATGTTCTTATAACAAACCTATACTTATAGTTTTTATGAAAAAATCTTATATATTATACATATATTTATAAGATTTTACTTTATAATTGATACATGCTTCATAATTGAATTCAAACCCTCTTCTCTAATATTTAAAAATTAAACATAAATACTTGTTTTAATGTTTTATAAGTAAAAGTATTTATTCGATTGTTTTCAAACTAAATTATGTTATTTTATTTTTATTAATTGAATTGAAATTTATTAATTTTATAAATTTAATTGATCGAATTTAATTTGGTTAATTATTGAATTAACATAATAATAAGATAAGTTTAAATTATATTATATTTTTAATTTTTAATTTCTCATATTTAAAATAAATTAAATAAAATCATAAAATAAAATATTTAAATATCAAAATATTAAATTAAAAACTCAAAGAACCTGTAAAATGAAAATGACCATTTTATATATTTTTAGTTATTTTTTTTTGGATTTCTTAAATTTTGATTAAAAATTTAGTTAAATAATTATTAAATCAAATTAATCAAAAATTAAAATTTTTACAAAATTATTTTTTATAATCAATTAAAATTAATTCAACGACGAATTGAAAAAATATAAATAAATATATATAATCCAAATTAAATTAAACAAAAAATTGAATAAAAAATGTTTCATAAATGTGCAAAATGATTGTGACCCTCACACATTGATCTTAGCCATAGGTAATGCAATATATTGGGAAGCCTTTGTCATGACTCATTTGGAATTTACGTAGAGATAAAGCATAACAACTCATTTTACTTTTCCTTTAGGTTAAAGCAAGGATAGATAATTACAAATGGAGAGCATAGTAAGCAACTAAAGGTTTGAAGCTAAAGCTAAAGCCAAAACCAATTGTGTCCACTAAATAACATTAAAAATTAATTAAACTTTAGAATAAAATGCTACGAGAGCTCCATTATCTCTTGCCAGCTCTTTCATTTATATATATTATTTTTTTATGTCATCTTTCTAAGGTTGTTTTATACGAATAAAAGGATCTATATTCTATAATGAGTTAAAAAGATTGGCCACCTAGATTTATTTGGTTGGGAAGGTAGGGACTTGGGTAAATGTGTGTGTATATATATATATATATATATATATATATATATATATTTGAGATGCATGGAAGCAATTCTCTTATTTCTTTTAACCTGTTTATTAATTAATTGATGCACTTTAATTTAAACATTAATGCTTTTTCTACGTAAAAATATACAGTATTCAAGGTTTTTCTCCTAATGAAAATTATAAATTAATTTGGTTTTATTTAAGTTCATGAATTTCAAGAATTATATATAAAAAGAAAGAAAAATCTATCCAAAATTAAGTAAATACATCTTCAAAACCATTTTATTATTAAAAATTTTATTTATCCAACTATCCTAATATGATAAAATTTTATTAGACTAGTTTTAAAGATTGTACTTATGAATAACTTTTTTTTTGGCCGATTGTTTATGAATAACTTTACCTATGATAAAATCATGGTATAAATAATAGGAAAAATGCGGGACTGAATTTTTATTAGATTTATTATTTTTTTGTTTAAAATCTCTGATATCTGATAATTATTTTGTTTATTGATTAATTTGAAATCAAATTTTATTGGTCTCGTAAAAAAATAATTTTTTTTAAATAAATTTTTTTATTTACAAGATTTAAAATCAAAATTTTATTTTAAAAAATTAAAATTTTTATCATTCAAACTAGCAAGCGTTGCAAATCTCGTTATCGACGTCACTTTTCAATTTTATTATTCTGAACCATAGGAGTTGGAGATCTCACTATTGATGTCACTTTCCAATTTTAATATTAAATGATGATGTCACTTTTGTGAATCGAGGAGAGAGCTCAAAGTCCCCCGCCCGCCACTGCAAAACAAGCTTTTCAAAATAACGAACTTTCTTGGGTGGGTCCAAATTAAACTAGGTTTTAATCATTCATCAGGGGAATTAATCTTTTACAGGACGTACCAAATTTCAACATCTCAATAATTTTTATTTCTCAAATATTTCTTTTATTTATTTTTCCTTTTTATTTACGTATCCAAGTTTTCAAGGTTTTTACTTGTTGACTTTGATGGGTTCCGAGGTTTAATTTAATATATTTTTGTTAATTAAAAATAAAGAAAAATAAATCGAATAAAAGAATTAAAAAATAATATGAAATAATACAATTATTGAACGATGAAATAAAAATATAAAAAATAGTTTTTTTTTTTAATATCATTGGTCAAGTTTCAAAACTCTACAATGGGAGATCAAGAAATTGTCAGTTTTTTTTCTACTATATTATTTTTTTTATTTTTTAATATACCCTAAATATGTCACCCTTCTAACCCCTATTTTTATAATTTTTATAATTTATTTATTTTCTATTTTTTAACACACCCTTCTAATCCTGATGGAGTTTTAAAAACTCCTCTAGCTATGGATGAGATAAATTTTCATTAAAAAAATCCATTAAATATTGGTAATTAGGCATTTGCATTTTTAAAAAACTTTGATTTATAACTTCATCTAATACTCTAAATAAGCTTCACTTGTAAACTAAAATTTTTAAATTTAGACAGCAAAAACACATAGCTTTTTCTTTTGCAGTAGAAAAACTCATCATACTCACTTTGTTCATGTCAGTTAAAAGGACACAACAAGATAATAAACTTACATCAACGGGCCCATGGCTAGTTGTAAGAAAGGAAGAAGACAAATAACATACCTAACTCCTTTATTGTTTATAAGTTATCTTATTTATTACGCAACTGAAAAACCAATTCCACTCATCTGATTTTTGGGATATTATCTTACATGCTATAGAATATACACTAAAGTTTTCTTCCTATACTCTCTCAGGATTCAGGTAACAAACCTGTATAAGTAAGCAAAAGTCTCATTCTGAAGACAAACTGAGCTGTCCATACTGCCTGTGTTTACTGCACACTATTGTACTGCAAAAATCTCCAAAAGAAGAGTTCAAGATAATATGTTCCTCGCTTTGCACCCAAATTAATCATTCCTCTGGCCGAAATAAAGTATATGTTGAACTAGTCTCGGTCTTCGTAACCTGCACAAAAATATTTAATTTCTTATTTAACAATGTATGAAAAAAAATTATACGACTCATGAAATCACCCTTAGAGAATAAGTATGTGAAATATAAACTACAACAATACCTTTATTTATTAGTTATATCATCTTATTCTAGTTCTTCCAAGGGACAAAAGTTAGATGAAACTTACACCCACCTCAGGATTGCGAGATGGTCCAGTAGGAAGAACAGGAACAAGAGATGTCCAAAGCACAGGGTCCACCAAGGAGTCAATGGTATTGTAATTGGTAAGAAGTGGAGCAGACAAGAAGGGAGTCAAGGGGAACACATTTTTCTGAAGAGACAATCCACCACTCACCCCCAGTGTAGGTCCAAGTCTATCACTATCGTGATTTACTGATTTTTCAGGTGCCTTGCCATGATCTATTTTGTTTGTAGTGTTTTTGTTCTCATTCTCATCATTATCAGCAGTTTTTTCTTGTTTTTTCAGTGCTTTCTCCTGCAGGCTCTTGAAGTCAGCAGATCGGGACAATATACTCAAGGCAGAGACAGGGGACCCTTTACGTTTTGTCCCTTCAAGGGATGTGCCCAGGCGGGGTAGTTGGTATGGTTCAGTAGGCTGCACTGCCCACTCTGGTGTTTTAAGTTCACTGCCAATGTCTTCTGGGCATGCACGTCTAGTTTCTTCAGAAGATTTTGTTCCTGATTCTGCTTGACGAGTTTTGTTGGTTCCCCACCACTTAATATAACTTGTTAAGTCAATCTTCCTCTCAATGCAAAGACCACCTAAGTAATCACTTTCTGTTGCTGGATCATCACCTGCACCATTGGTTTAACAAGATAGAAATTAGATGTTACTAGTGCAAGGACTTGACATGTGAAAGATACATTACATTTGGTTTAAGATGGTGTGAAATAAATAACTTTGCAGTCCTATAAAACTAGTCATGCTGGTTATTTTAAACATAAAATTAAATGGTAAACTTACTGTAAGGTATGCCTTTGAAGTATTCAGATGCAGCAACACGACGAAATGATGAGTCCCAGCGACTACTTCACAGTAGCCAAAGATTTTAATAAAAATTAAAAAAGAAAGAAATGAAAAAGGAAAAAAAAAAAACACATTAATAACCATCGTATAATTTCAAAGATACTGGGCTCCCACGTGGGAAGGTGAAAAATATAAAGAAATTTGCAGAAGACAAATGAAGAACAAACATTTCATTAATGCTAACAACTCACAAAAAGATGATGCATGGGTCAGATTTCAGAACATATTAAGTAAAGAAGAAAAAAAGAACGATGATTTCTTGATTTCTTCTGATCTCTTTGAACTGTATGGGATGTTTTCTTCACATTGTGAAAACAGGCACATGGAGAGAAAGGTGATGTACATGGAACTATCATTTAGGAAGATAGATGTGTACAAATTCCCATCAAGCAACTTAATAAAACAGTTTAGAAGGAAAGTTGATGAACAGGAACAGGGTTGTTGAGAGACCAACTTATCTACTTGCAGCTTTGATTGAAGTACAACTTTTTTTAAGTTGTTTCTCTATCTGAAGTGCTAGGCAGAAGACAAAGTACTAAACAGAAGAACATTTTCCTTTTCCTTTTGATGGTTGTGGACAATAGATTGTGGGAAAATACTTAGTTACAATTGGTTGTAATCTGTATATATTTATATCCCTAGAATTAAGAATTTGGTATCCCTAGAATTAAAGACAAAAAATTAAGATAGACAATCCCTTAATTATAGGGATCAGATTTAGGAAGATTTAGTTTCCTAATTTACCCTCTAGTTAGTTGTATATAAACTTATAGTGTGTGTATAATTCTACACAGAAGTTTTCTATATATTCAGTTTTTTCACATGGTATCAGAGCTTTAAGCTTTTCTTGAGAAGAAAATTTTTTCAGCCTTCATTGCTAAATTCTATTTCAGACCTTCGTAGCCAAATCTTTTTAAGTCTTTCATAGTCTTTTTTTTTTTTTTTTTCCTTTTTGACCTTCATTGCCTAGAATTGTCTATTGCATTATACCTTTATTATCAAGTCTTGTTTCAATCCTGAGAAAGATAACCATGTCAGAGATAGCAGAATCTATCGTTACTACCCAATTTGAGGAAGTGACAACTGGTCAAACCAAAGGAGAACTACAAAATATCTAAGCTACATACAGATTGAATGGAAAGAACTACTTGAAATGGTCTCAGTTGGTTCAAACTTTTCCAAAATGGAAAGGAAAAGTGAGCCATCTTCTTGGTATTGGCCCTAAGAGAGGAGATCCAAAATTTGAGGCTTGGGATGAAGAGGATTCCATGGTTATGGTTGTGAAATTTTATGACACCAGATATTAGTGACACTTGCATGTTTTTGTCCACAGCCAGAGACATTTAGGAATCAATTCAACAAACCTACTCCAAAGTTAGAGATGTTACTCAAGTCTATGAGATAAAAATCAAGACTACAGCTCTCAAACAAGGGAACAAGTCAGTGACAGAGTATGCTATTCTTCTAAAAAATCTTTGGCAAGAGTATCCTGTGCATAGAAATAAAGTGCAGTGAAGATGTAGCAACTTTGAAGAAATTTATTGAAAAAGATCGAGTCTATGATTTTCTTATTGGACTTAATGTTGAGTTTGATCAAGTCAGAGTATAAAAATTGGGAAAAGAGGATTTGCCCTCTTTAAATGGGTGATCTCTATGGTTAAAACAGAAGAGATCAGAAGAGGAGTGATGCTTGACAGTCTGCATGTAGGAGGATCTGCTATGGTGTCTAATGGTGGGAAGAACCAAAACTTGGAACAATTACCAATCAGTGAAAAAGGGAAAGGTGATTTGGCTAAAACCTCAAGTCGTGACAATCTTTGATACACCTATTGCAAAAAGCCAAGGCACACCAAAGATTGTTGCTGGAAACTAAATGGAAAACCTTCAACTTCAAGCAAAGAATGGAATTATAAAGGAGGACAACCAAGAAATCGGGGCAAGCTCACATGACTGTAATGGAATCAAACCAGGAAAAGCCTCGAGAACAATAAAAGTTGGACAAAAAAGAGATTGAGAAGCCTATTGAGAACTCTGAAAAATACTACTGGTGTATGTTCCTTGGCACACTTAGGTAGGGTTTTTAGTTAAAGTAAAGTCTCTGTTTCTCATGGATTAAATGTCTCGGATAACTCTAGTAAAAGTTAATGGATCATTGATTTAGGAGTCAAAAACCATATGACACATTCTTTACAGAAGTTTAGTACATATATCTTGTGTCCTGGTAATAAGAAAATTATTGTTGTAGATGGTTCACTTACTAGAGTGACAGAATTAGGAGATGTTCAAATCAATTCCTCATTTATTCTTAAAATTGTTCTTCGTGTTCCTAGATTGTCTACTAATATGATATCTATACAAAAACTTATTAGAGGATTGAACTTGCTAAGGAAAAGAATGAGCTATACTATCTTGAGACATCCAAAAATGCAAGTAATATTAAGAATAGTTTACCTTTGTCATTTCTTTCTAAAAAATCTCTCAGTAAGACAAATTTTGGCTTTATCATTTTCCTTTTGGACATCCTTCTTTTGGATCTTTGAAAAACATGTTTCTCTTTGATTAAAGGATTAAATGTCAAAAATTTTCATTGTGATGTTTGTGAACTTATAAAACATAGACACATGTCTTTTCCAGTTAGTAATAAACGAAGTTCTACTCCTTTTTACTTGATTCATAGTGACATTTGGGGTGCCTCTACAATTCCTAATATTTCTGATGCAAGGTGTTTTGTTTCATTCATAGAGATGATTGTACCAGGCCTCTTAGATTTTTTTATTTAAATCAAAATCAAATGTGAATAGTATGTTTTTAAGCTTCCAAAACATGATCCAAAATCAATTTAGAGTGAAAATCAAGAGATTTAGGTCTGATAATGCAAGAAACTCTTTCAACCAGACTCTATCTACCTATTTCCAAAAAGAGGAGATTATCCATGAGTCCTCTTATGTTAACACTCCATAGCAAGATGGAGTGGTAGAGAGGCAGACTAGCTATTTACTAGCCACAACCCAAGCCTTATTTTTTCAAGCAAACGTACCTAAATCCTAATAGGGGGAAGTTCTACGGAACTACTCTTAGAATTCTATCCCAACTTTAATACTATAAACAACCTCACATCTCGGATATTTGGTTGTCCATTATTTGGGGAAGCTGTTCTCACTGCCACACACATTATAATTAGGTTACTTTCAAGGTTTTTGAGATTTTAAACTTCTACGGAACTACTCTTAGAATTCTATCCCAACTTTAATACTATAAACAACCTCACATCTCGGATATTTGGTTGTCCATTATTTGGGGAAGCTGTTCTCACTGCCACACACATTATAATTAGGTTACTTTCAAGGTTTTTGAGATTTTAAACTCCTACGAAACTACTCTTAGAATTCTATCCCAACTTTAATACTATAAACAACCTCACACCTTGGATATTTGATTGTACATTATTTGTTCATGTTCACAGTCATAATAGGGGGAAGTTGGATCCAAGAGCAATTAAGCGTACGCTCGTGGGGTATTCATCAACTCAAAAAGGGTATAAATGCTATCATCCTCCTACCAAAAACTTATGTTTGTAGATATCACTTTTGAAGAAAATAAACTATTTTTACTCAACTTTATCTTTAGGGGAAGACATCATTTATAGAAGATAAGGATAAAGACTTCTTTTTGCTTGACTTATCCTCTTCCAAAATAGTTTCACTCATTAATTCTTTGAGTCTAAATCAAACATTGAACCTAAGTCTAAACTCATTCCAAACACAAAAGCTAAGACTAAGGATAATACTATTCTTGATTCTGTGAAGGAATTACAAATGTACTTAAGAAGGAAAGTTCCAACTCCTAAACTGGTGCAAGTCCAAAAAACGTAATCCTAACTCTGGAAATGAGATAACTAAAGACTCTGACTCTATTTCTCAAAATGAGCATAAATCTCATAAAACTATAAAACTAGTGATTATGATCTACCAATTGCCATTAGAAAAAGAACCAGAGAATGTACTAAACATCCACTATACCTAATCTCTAATTTTGTGTCATTTGAAAAATTCTCACAACCTCACAAAAATTTCCTTGTGAGCCTAAACACTATTTCTATTTCAACTACATTATCCGAGTTATTATCTAATGAGAAATGGAGGCAGGCCATGAAAATAGAAATTGAGGCCTTAGAGAAAAATAAGACATGAGAATTGGTAGAGTTGCCTAACGGAAAAAAATTTAGTTTGGTGTAAATAGATTTTCATTGTAAAATACAAGGTAGATGGGATTATTAAAAGGTATAAAAGGCCACATTGGTGGCTAAAGGCTACACTCAAACTTATGGAGTGCATTATTGAGAAACTTTTGCTCCAAATGCCAAGATGAATACAGTTAGGATTTTATTATCTTTGGTAGCTTCAACAATTTAATGTAAAGAATGCTTTTGTACATGGTGATTTGGAAGAAGAAATATATATGAAAGTTCCATAGGGATTTGGAGGTCATCTAGAAACAAACAAAGTATGCAAGCTGAAAAAGGTTTTATATGGCCTTAAACAGTCTCCTAGGGCCTAGTTCGGGAAATTTGCCAAAGTGATGCTAGCAATGGCATATAGGCAATGTCAAGGGGATCACACGCTGTTTATCAAGTACTCGGATTTAAGGAGTCATAGTTCTATTAGTATATGTTGAGGTTATAATTGTAATCGGAAATGATGAAAAAGAGAGAGAATCTCCAAAATAGTGTTTGGCTAGAGAATTTGAGTAAAAGAGCTAAAGAGATTGAAGTAGCTCACTCATGGCATGGTATTTTCATCTCACAATAGAAATATGTAATGATCTTTTGAAGGAAACTGAGAAACTCGCATGTAAACCTCCAAATACCCCTATAGATCCTATCGTGAACTTGGAGAAGTTAATAAAGATGTTGTTGTAGGTAGAGAGATGTACCAAAGATTAGTTGGAAGACTCATTTATCTTTCACATACTAGATCTGACATAGCATATGCTATAAGTGTGATAAGTCAATTTATGCATGGTCCTAAAGTAGTGCACTTACAGGCTGTCTACTATGTACTACACTATTTGAAAACCAATCCTGGGAAAGGTATCTTGTTTAAAAGAAATTCAAGGCTGGTACTAGAGACATACACAGATGCTAATTATACAAGTTCAGTAACTGACAGAAGATCTACTCAAGCTACTGCACTTTTATAGGTGATAATCTTGTAACTTTGAGGAGTAAAAAACATAATGTGGTGGTAAGATTAAGTGCTAAAGCAGAGTTTAAAGCGATGGCTCAAGGAATTTATGAACTACTTTGATTAAAAATTATCCTAGAAGACTTGAAGATCAAGTGGGATGAATCAATGAGACTCTACTGTGATAAAAAGTCTGCAATAAGCATTGCACACAATCCTGTGCAACATGATAAAACAAAACACATTGAAGTAAACCGGCACTTCATAAAGAATGAACTAAACTAGACAATGGGTTGATTTGCACACCATATATATCAACCAAGGGAACTTGGAGATGTGTTGACTAAAGGTCTCAGCAGTGTAACATTTTAGGAAATTATTTCCAAGTTGGGAATGGAAAACACCTATTCACCAACTTGAGAGGGAGTGTGGGAAAACACTTAGTTACAACTGGTTGTAATCTGTATATATTTGTATCTCTAGAATTAAGAAGAAAAAATTAGAATAGACAATCCCTTAATTACAGGGATCAAATTTAGGAAGATTTAGTTTCCTAATTTACCCCTTAGTTAGTTGTATGTAAACCTATGGTGCTTGTATAATTCTAAAAAGAAGTTTTCTATATACTCAGTTTTTCAACAGATGGATTAAAAAAAAATCAAATTGCTAAATACATTTTTGACTTACACAAAAAAGGATCTTTAATTTGAATTGGAATCTACCTTGAATGGGATTTAGATCATACACAATCAAGTTGCCAATTTTGGGAGCAAAGGTCTTGCGTGTTTTATGCATTCTGAAATTTACTAAAGATATTTGATTTTAGGTGTCCAAAACTAAAAAGGGAAGCTCCAAGAAGCAATTTAAATCAGAAATCTTTGAAAATACTTGGTATACCCACTAACACTATTCATGTCTTGGATTTAAGTGTGGATATATATGGTAAAAATTGTACCTTGAAAGACCGCGATATTTAGAAATTCCTCTTGAGAAGCCGCTGCTTTTTCTGCAGAGAAATGTATTATAAGTAACATCTCAAAATTGCAGTGGGAATACAAATTTCCAAAGCTCATACACACCTTCGAAGAGATGCAAGGTAGTCCTCTCTTGACAAATTCTGCATCTCTTCAAGATCCCTAGTATAGTCAGCAACCTGGACATAATTTGAAGCTTTAAAACATTAAATTTCAGACAGATACCGATTAAAGAATCAAGGTGAAGATTTAAAGCAAATTCTCTTGTGCCAAACCAAGCTTCTCAATAACACACATCCTTTCCCAAAGCCCAAAACCCAAAAGAAAAAGTGGGGTGAGCCATCTATTTATAAGCACATAGTTAAGGAAGGAAACATGTATGGATTTAATGTCCCTTGCAAGGAGAAACAAATTTCAAATGCCAAATTTGAAAATCAACATTAAGAGAGCACCTATGGATTCTTTAATTTTTAAACTTAAGGAACAAAAAAAGGTTAAAAGTTTTTTGCATGCATATGACTATGAGGAATCCAAGGGGGGAGAGGGGATTTGAACCTTGGACATTATTATGATATTAAAAAAGAGAATCCAAAAGGGATTTTCGATTAGTACCAAGTGCAACAAACATGACGACATAAAGCATCTAATTCATCTGCTTTTACTGAAACATGATAGTGCTAAACTGAGTGATTAACTCACTGGAAAATTAATGAGTGTCCCAGGACCCCAGTATTTCAAAGCAGCAAGATCATATGCTCTTGCTGCAGCCTCCTCGTCATCATATGCCCCTGTAAATATATGTCCTCAATACATAGAATTTGGGGTAAAATTAATGAACAGGCAAGTTCAAAGAAATAAAGTCGTGAATCTCCTGACTTACCTAAGTAGACTGACAATGGTCAAACACCAATATTCCATGCACCAAAAAAGAATTTAAATATTGTCAGCTTTCTTGAGAAACATGAACTATTAAGTTGTAATTAACTAGCCTACAAATATAATTCAAGAGAGAAAGGCAGATAAACAGACCTTGCTTCCCTTTCTTATTCTGATTTTGATTCCAAGTACTTTTATCCCAAAGGTGAGCTTCATAACGACCAGTCCACCTATGCCTAATATACATAGACATTGAATGAAGCACAAGCATCAATCACCCATGTATGGGAATGAGTGGTGTTAAACTCTTTAGTAGTTTCAAAAGACAGGCAACTGTAAAAACAAGCATCAATCAAGAAAAAGGTTGCAGTATCAGACAGAATCTTCTATTTCATTCAGAATGCTGTGTAGTTTATCCATTTATTTATAGCTTTCAAGTTTAACTTACAACTATCCCCAATAGATAGGATATCAATTACACACCAAGGTAACCTTCTGTGATCCAGTAATATGAATACTTTAAAAAATACATTCCATGTCGTATACATAATTTGATTTGTTAAACTATTTCTTGCAGATTTGTACGCCCATAATATCATGGTGGTTCAATTTAATCTAAGTATCCCCAACAGCAAAGGGGTGAACAGAGATGTGGCTACCAAAAGCAGGTTAAATGAAAGGTGACAGCAAAATACGGACAACAGGGCGCCAAAATATTAACATACAGCCTACAAGATATTGAAGAAAGAGTAGATGTCTCTTCCAAGACTTGAAGTCATGATCTTTGTGTACTTAAGAGAAGCCTTGTTGAATTTTTTCTTCATTCTTTGTTTCATTATGCTTCCTTCTTACCCGTTAGACACCAATCATCAAACACATCAAAGACTTAAATGGTGCCCTTCAAATTTTTACCTGCAACTTGTACTTAATCGCAACAATGATAAGCTATAATTCCAAAATTCCCAATCGATGAGTCCTCGAAATTTAATTCCTTTGGCAGCCTAAAGCTATGGTTTTGATAATTTCGGCTGCTCACTTTAGTGATAACTTCCAACAACAATTATATATGCCCAAAGCTAAAACGAGCTAAATCCCAACTCAAATCCATCAAAAAAATTTTCGAAAAAGCCACCTCTCTCCCATCAATTAATCTTATAAACAACACATAAAAATCAGATTCCCTCCAGATTCATCCATCAACATAAAATTCACACAAAACATAACTCCAAACTCATGATCTTTTATTTCAAGAACAGAGTTTTAAGTAAAGCCAAGTAAGTAAACCAAATATATATATATATATATATATATATATATTTGGTTAGTTTTTCCTTTTTACCTGGTGACTCCACGGTAAATGGAGCTGCGTTTGCCGGCGGTGCACGGCGGCATCTTACTGATACGTTCTTTAGCAGTGCAGCCTCTCTCTTTCTTCGCTTTCTTCAATCCTTTGTACAGTAAAAGCTGATCGTTTGCTATCACCGTCTCCGAATTCTCTCCGCCGCTGGCTTCCGCTTTCATCCCTGGATCCGACAAGGACGTCGAAGACATGATTAAACGAAAAAAACAACAAAACTCAAAACCTAAGAGAGAGAAAATTCCAAAAAAACCAAAGAAAAACAGTGAAGTTGAGATAGTGAGAGAGTGAGAGTTGGTTTTTTTGTGGGGTTTTGGTTCTGGTTTCGGTTTCACTTTGGAGGAAAAAACAATAGTAGGAGAGTAAGGGAATAACGGATTTACGAAAATGCCCTGAGTGATTCTTGTTATTAACTCGTTCATAATTGGGGTTGATACAGATAAAACGTTCATAACGGCTAGAACGGGGTGAGGGTTATCTATGTAATTTCACATGTTTTAAAGTTCTTCTGGTTTCCGCACCTGTCAACAACTATGAGTCCCGGTAAAACCGGCGTCGTTTGAAAACGTTACTGTATTAGTTTGGCTAAAAAATGAATAATAAATAAAATACTAAAAATAATAACTTGACTACTAACATGTCAGTCTAACTATATTATTAATTAGATTATGTGGGTGAAAAAGATAAAATGATGAACAAAATTAAAAATATTATTTAAAAATAAATAAAATTTTATGTGACAAGAGGGTAGGCTTATATATATATATATATATATATATATATCATATTAATAAAGATTTGTTTTATTTTAAAAATCTAAAAACGTAAATATCTGCAACCTTATTTTGATTTTTAAAAAAGTTTTTAATTAAATTGATGTCACTTAACTTATGAAATCAAATTCAATCATATATATTATAGATATTCAAATTTTTATACATCCATTATGAGTGAAAAATAAAAAGGTATGAATAAAAAATAAAAATCTCAGTAAAAAAAATGTGATGATTAAGTATCTTTTTTAAGTGTACATGAAATCAATTTGTTTTATTTAAAAATATCGACACAAGTATCTCTAATTTTATTTTTAATTTTTAGTAATTTTCTGAATTAAATTTGTGTTACTTAACTCATTAACTCCTGAAATTAAACATAATTAATCACTTTATAAATAATCAGTCTTTGACACACTGACCATGTGACTGAAATGATAAATAACTTTATTGTTTAAATAAATATTAAAAGAAAAAATACTTCATAACTAAAAATATAAAAGAGAGAAAAAAATAAAAATAACTGAACTTACAGTTTTGGAATAATAAAAAAAAAGGCACAATTATCAATTTAAAATGAAATGGTTAAGAAGTGATTTTGACTTATATTTTGAAGAAAGTAAAAGACTAAAAAATTTATAAATCCTTATCCCTCAAGGAGATTTGTTCGTTCACACACAATGATCCTTGTGAAAGTTACTCTCCTTCCTTTCCTCCTCCCACTTAATGAAACAACTGTACATAATTACACTTTGATTCCTCACAAAAAATTTTGATTTAGCTAGGCTTCTGTATTTACCATATAATAAAATCTAAGAAATCAGAGATACTACCTCTGAACAAGTAACTGCCACCAGCGGCCACTCCCAAATTATAGCTTCACATCTCTGATCCAACAATCAATGGTGAGGTTGGCAGAGAAGATGCAATCGTGCGGCTTGAATTTTGATCTCCAGATCTTCTCATGGATTCTGTTTGATTACCAAAACATCATTTGCATATTTCTTCGTGAAATGCTATAGTTTTATTGCCAGCATAGGGACTCGCACATACACGCCTTACTACTACAACTATTATTCTATATTTTTATTCCAAAAGCTTTATATGCTAGTTTTGAAACCAAGAACCATTCTGGCAAAGTTATGAACACATTCTAAAATAATGTTTCACAAGGCCAGAAATAATTTCAGCTTACCCAGTCTTTCTTGTATTTTATGTGCATATTCAGCCCCACAACTTTTCTGTGAAAAGGAGACAATATCAACAAACATCCCATCGGAAGGTTGAATTCCAGCATCCTGCATCCACTGAAGAACCTGCACAGAGATTTGCAAAGGAGACTGAGTCTTTCCCTTTTTGAATATTTGTAACACACATCTAAAAAAAGTACATTCTATCCCATAAGCATTTCTGTTAATACACTTCATGAAAAAAAATCCATGAATCTGATCAATGAAGTCAGGATAAGAAGAAGTATAATCATCTTTGGACCATTGAGACAACATTTTCACATGGAATTGAATCATGCAGATTAAGGACAATTTATTTGGAAATCTGGGAATAATTATTAATATGTCCATACAGATTTCAGAAATTTAGCACCAAAAAGTAAGAAGTTTGAGGACCTGGGTCATCTAAATCAAAGGCCATACAGATTTCAGACATTTAGCCATCATGCCAGATGTCAACTAAAAAAATAGATAAATAAATACCATTTACACCATTTATATAAGAAAAATCAGAAAATCTATAGTGTAGATTGAAGTTTCACACAATAGTTAATAGATAATATAGAAGTACAACCTCAATATATTTTCGCCAATTTCCAGTGGCCAATAGATTTTTCAACAAGATTGAATAGGTATTGAAGTTGACTGCAGCACCTGATGCTATTATCTTGTAAAACAGCTGCATGTGTCCAAAGAAAAAAAGAAAGGCAAAAAATAATTAGATGTGGAAAATAACAACAATCAAACAAAGCACTGATCTTCAACCTTATAATAGAACTGAAAACTACTTCTAAGACCCAGAACAAAAAATAAACTTCTATTACATGCATGAATATTAAGGAAATCCAGTACCTTCATCATAGGTTCAATTTTACCACTTTTTCCAAGCAGATGAAGAAGCTGATTCATTAGCCCAACGGAAACTAGTGGGAACCAAGGCTCCATTAGTTTGATCAGGTTAATTGTGGTCTTCCAATCTCGTAACCTTCACTCAAATTCCCAATGTTAGTTTCTAGGAAAGCAGATAAAACATAATGAATTTTATGTATAAAAACTAGAGCTATTTGTTCTGAAAGCTGGCTCCCCAAAGCAAGTGGAATTAGACATTTGAAAATTAAAACAAAAAAAATAGATAATGTAGGATAAACCAGTATTTTATCTAGCCATGAAACAAGTGACGATCAATAGGTATATAGTGAAATATCACTCTGTTGATTTGATGTTGTAATACAGGTAATTAAAGTTAAATTGGATGTGGCTCCAACAAAAAGTAGCAGTTCTATCTATGATTCCACCTTTTAAAATGCAAAAAACATGGATAAAATTGGGTGTTAAGTGGCTACATTGGGTTCATTATCCTCAGATTCTAGAACTTCTTCAAAAGTTAATTTTCCTCTGTGATAAGAGTATAATGGAAAGATCTGCATTAGCTGAAAGCAAGAACTCTACAACAAAATTTAAAAATAAACAATCTTTTGAAAAAGGGACAAAAGCTTATGAAACATGATTTTTTTAGCAAATATAGACATGAAACTTACATGCTACAAGCTGATACCATTTCAAAGAAAATAGCATCGTTTAAAGGAATTGCTTTCTCTCTCATATACTCTGCCAAAACAAGAACCTTGGATGGTTGTCCTTCCTTATTAAAAGCTCTCATTAGAGCTGAACATGCTACAGAATCTGGTTGGATATCATCTCTTTCCATCTCCAGAAATAGTGCAGAAGCTTTTGTCCAATTTTCTGAAGCATAAAAAAATACCAAGTTGTTGGTTACAGAAGTCCAGCTACAGTAGCAGAAGTTTATAAACATATTGAACATTGTCTTAGCATGAGACAGCTATTTTTGATGCAGCTGTAAATGAATTTCCAACTAAAAGTACAAAGAGTTCTTTAGATAAGTTTAGCCTATCAACAATGAAGGACTAAGGTGACAAAGTACTACAGAATCAATCAATAAACTTCCAGGTATAGAAAGGTTTACAATTTAAGAAAAGATCAGCAATGACAATAGATATCACTTTGCTAAAAATATTCCCTCATTATATCTTATTTTTTATAGATTGTACATGTATCCGTAATTGTGTCTCTGTATTTGCAGTTTCCCAAGTAGTTACTAAAGAAGCGTAATCTGCAACATACCTGCAGCATTATAAGCATGCAGCATTGCTGTATATGCAACAACATCAGGACAACAACCAGCAACCTTCATCATGTTGAAAATTGATTCTGCTTCAGCAACTTGGCCCTGAGATATGTATTCAAAGAAGAACAAAATAAATAAGAAAACATTTCCCTCATGCCGTAGATAAACATTTAAGAAGCATGTCATGCTGAAGAACTTGCCTGTTTACTGTAAACACAAATAATAGATGAGTAAACCTCCTTGGTTAAGGGGGTTTTTAAACCCTCCATGTCATCAAGAAACACAAGTGCCTCACTGTATTTTGACAGTTTACAGCAACCGCTTATCAATACAGTATAAGTAACAGAATCTGGCATGACTTTCCTTTTCCTCATGGATTTGTACAAAGCTACAGCCTTCTCAAACTCTCCAACATTCATGTAGCTTCCAATTGCTGAATTGTAGGCAACCGTATTCAGTTTGATACCTCGCAACTCAGCTGCTGAAAGTACAGCATCAATATTCACCTTTTGCCCACAGCGCCCACATGCAGCTAAGAGGGTGCAAATTGAGACAATGTTTGGCTGAATCCCATCTTGCCCCATTTGACACAAGACTTCCACAGCCTGAGCTAATAAACCATTAGATCCATAGGCATCAATCAGAGCATTATAACTTACAAGATTAGGTTTGCAATTATCTCTCTTCATCATATCAAAAACTTCCCTAGCTTTTTCAGGTAGCTGTGATCTTCCATAAGCATTAAGTAAAGAAGTATAAGAAACAACATCTGGACGAAAACCATTTTGTTTTATCTGGTCAAAAACAGCAGCAGCCTCTTTACTCAGTCCATGTGAAGCATATGCAGCCATTAGTGTGTTATATGAAACAATATTGGGCCTTATACCTTCTGCAAGCATTGTATTGAACACAGCCTTACAATTTTCCATCTGTCCACTAACAGAATACAGATGAATAATGCTGGTGAATGTAACAATGTCAGGGCAACACTCAGATCCCTTCTCTCTCATTGAAGTAAATATATCAATGGCTTTTCCATATTCTCCAAGCTTCACCAGGCAATTTATCACAATATTGAAGGTAGTTGTGTCAGGACGAATATTTGTCCCTTTCATCAGTTGGAAATAAGACACAGCTTTTGAATATTGGGCCCCATTCTTATATGCAGACAATACAATATTGTGTGTCACTAGATCTGGCCCGACTCCATTTTCCGTCATTTTCTTGCAAATCTTCAGAGCCTCTCTCCAATTTCCACTAGATCCACAAGCGTTGATCAAGTTGTTATATGTTGATCTACTTGGAGGGATCTGCAGATATATGTTCACTAAGGTTACAAGCATCTCTTGTTGAAAAAAGATAAAATTTCAAGAGGTGGGAAAAAAGGAGGGAAAGAACTGTTACTAAATAGAAAAAGCTAGGTTGCTTAATCTTTTATAAAAGGAGAAAACATTGAAGCTGTAATGCTCTATATAAAAAATGTGCCAACTTCAATCCGATTTACTTAAGAAACTGCAATGGTATCTATGTATACTGCAGACAAGAATGTTTGATTTAACTTCTTTCTCTATCTAATTTCTCCCAATTTTTAACTTGTGGAAAAGAAAGAAGCACCCATTATGGCACATCAACTTTTATTGCTTAGTCTTGTTTGAAGGGGAAAACCCTAACAATATTCTTAAATCCCATCTAAACTTTCGGAATTCTAAATCTTATAATTGGTCTCGCTAAATGAACCTCTGAAATGTATTTACAAACTTAAGAATGGGACTCAAAGCATGCCACCAAAAAAAAAAAAAATGTAAAACAGTCTGCTTAAACAACCAGGGGAAGAATATATGAAAAGTACAACCTGCAGACACCAAAATTGTATCAACCATAATGATAGTTATAGTGATAACTAGACAATAATAGAGGCATTTTGTGGGTGTTGTTCGACCATAACAATAATCAGTGTCAATTACATGATAACAGAGGCACTATGCAGTATTGCAAATATTTTATACCCACAACAAATTCAATGTGAAAGGAAACAGAAAGAAGCTCACACCAAGTTACACCTAGTAAGATTGATTAGGGAAGAAAAATACAAATACACACAGCTGCACTAAGCATTTCTTCCATGATATTCATCGCCCAACGCCATTGACCTGCTCGACCATGTGCATGGATAAGAGCATTATATGTCTCAACATCAGGTTTGCACCTACAGCAAAATTTTGATCTCAATATATTTTCCAGCAAGAGTTCAGGATATTCATAAAGGGTTAATTGAGATCCCATGCCAATTGAGTTATTTTAATATGTAGCTTTATTAGAAATAATTAAACAAGGACAACGACTTCAAATAAGATCTTGATATAGAAACTACAAAAAGGCTACTTCTTGCCAGCATAAGAAGACTCTAGTAAATTGTACTTTGATAAAAACACACACATACGCTTCTACAAACTGCAAATTTATTCTTGTCTTCTTAAAATTGTATAAACATCAAGAGATCCACATGAATGGAGTTTTGTTTACAGTTAAAATGTTGTTTATGCAAGCTATAACATATGCAATATATAAGATCAAACAAACAGAAAGCATTACCTCCACTTTTGCATTTCAAAGAACAAACCGCGAGCTTGATCCATCCGATTATGTCTAGCATGTAATCTTATCATCATATTGTAGATATCATTTCGCGCACAGTAGTTCTTTTGATTTTTCATCCACTCAAATACTTTTATACTATGTTCAATTGCACCCCTTTGTGTCAGCTCCTGCCAAGCCACCAGCAAAAACACTCAACCAACACAATTTCTTGTGAAACCCCAGTCCATTTTATTTATATATTTTGGACCTAACGTGCTATTGGGTTTAATTTTTAGTAGGCTCATTTGTAGTCACTAGGTTTTTACAAAACCAAGGGTATAAAAACATTATTTTCTCATTGTTTTAGGGTTAGAAAACACCTTAGAGAGAGAGTCAAGGCTGCTGGGTATCGGTAGAAAATAATGAGGAATGAGTCTGGGGGGCTGCATTTGGCAAGAATGCTTTTTGACAAGATATTGTCATGTGCTAGACTTGGACATTTAGACTTGGTTATCATGAATTATGGTTTTGAGATCTTTTTGTAAGAGATATTTTCAAACTTTAGTTCGGTTTTAATGTAATTTTGAGGTACAATGTGGAATAATTAGCATTTCGAATATATCATGTTAGCCTTACATGCTCATGGGATTCACCCCATGGGGTGACCTAGACCCTTGGCTTTAGGGCATGAAATTTGTGACATTTCTACAGCTAATCTCTAATTAGCCTCAGCGTCCATTAGGTCATTAATTTTGGTTCTCAACTTTCTGCTTTTTTTCCTTTACTTAAAAACGAAAACAAATAGTAAAAAACAAAATCATATTTCATTAAAAATGAGTAAATAATAAAAAATGTAACAAATTCAAACATAATTATTTCATATAAAAGTAAAAAAGAAGCATTTTTCTTATTAAAAATTTAAATTTTAAACTTTAATTATTCAAAATGTGCAAGTTTTGTTTCTGAAATTTTTTAAACAAAAAAAGCAAAAGCAGCCCTACCTTCTAATTTTCTGTATTTTATATTCATAAAACAAAAATATTTTATAGCACGAGAACGCGGCAAACCTTTATGAGAACCGGGAAATTTTTCCTAGCAAAACGGCCAACCCACCGGTTTAGCACCGGTTCGACGTTATCCCGATGATTCAGCTCCAGAATTTGGTCGACCACCTCAGATACGGTCCAGTCCTTCTGGAAGCGATCGCCTTCCACACGCAAACGGTACCGTTTAGGAATATCGGCCTTTCTGAGTCCAGTCACCCGAGTGGAAACCTCGTGGTGGCCCTTGTCGTAGTCGACGACCCCGGATTTCTGGTCCACGAAAGCGGTGTCGTTCTTGTTCTTGCATAAGATTAGGGATTTGGGGCGAGTGGAGTGAGTGGAGTCGGGCGAACGAGGAGTGAGTTTGAGAGGGAGCGCGTGGGATAGAGTGGTCATCTCATCTGAACGAGCGTGGAGAGAGAGGGAGAGCTGTTCAGGATTCTTGACAGTTAGGGAGAGGGAGCGAGGAGTGGATAACGATTAACAAGTAACACAAAACCCGTCCTTCAAAGCTTTGGAATCTGGAGGAGCTAACTGCACTGTTTTCTCTCTTCACAACTCAATTTTTTTTTTTTTTATAAATAAAATTATTTAATTATCATTTTTTCATAAATTTTTTTATATTTATTTTGGATAAGTTTTATAACTTTTTAAAAATAAAATTTTCAAAAATTATATAATAAATTTTCAAAAAATCAATTTTGAAAAAACATGACTTTTCTAAAAGGTAAAATAGTAAAAACATTTTTAAAATTTGCAAAAAAAAAATTTATTAAAAAAAATTTTTATCAAAAAAATCATAAATTTTATAATTAATAAAAAAAGTTAATTTTATTATTTTAATCTTATAAAAAAAAAATTTTATGAAACCTTTATTAAATATTTTATCTTTGAATATTACAAAAAATGATGAAAGAAATATCAAGTTCATCTATATCTGAAAGTTGAAATTATTAAAAGTTATATAAGTAATACTATTTAATTTTATATAATTTTATCAAAATTTAATATACTAATTGGTAAAACTAATCATGATAGGTAAATGAAAAAACTTTTTCAAAGAATTTAGTTTAATTAAAACTATTACAAAATTTCAATAATCAATACAAATAATATATTTATTAAAAAATATAAAATTTAAATATATAAAAAATCAAAATAATAAAAATAAATTTTTTATTAATTTTAAAATTTATAATTTTTTCTAATAATAACTTTTTTAATATACTAATTAATAAAAATTTCTTACCTTCCAAAAATGGATTTTTGGAAAGGTATATAACTTTTTGAAAATAAAGTTATATATTTTTTGAAAATTTATTTTTAAAAATTATAAAATTTAAATTTATTAAAAATAAATATCTAAAAACTTGAAAAAAATAGTAATTAAATAATTTTATTTATAAAAAAAAAAAGTTGAGTTGTGAAAAGAAAAAACAGGGGTGTCACAATCCTGGAATTTGAGTGGGGTTATTTGCATCTCAAATTATTCTTTTCACACCCCCACTATTATTAACACGTATTACTTATTCTCTTTACACCCTAAACCAAAATACAATTTTACTAAAAAGAACTCAAACACCCAATTCTCTTCTCACACAGCCTTTTCAATCGAAACCTTAAACTTTTTAATGATTAAACTCCAAATCAAGCCTCATTTCATGTAAAATAGCTTGAATTAGAGATAAATCATTTTTTTTTTTTGTATTTTCATTTGATTTTATATTTAGTTTCAAAATATTTAGAATTTTAAGATTATGAAAGTGATTCGAACATTTTAGAAATGAATTTCTAAAATTATCAAAGATTTTTTAAAATAAATGTCTAAAAACTTCATCAATGTATTAGAAATTCATTTCCAAAATTACTTAAAAATTTTTGGACATTCATTTTTTAAAACCTTAAAAAAATTTTGATAGTGTATTTTAAGAATTTATCAATGGTTTCCAAACATTTATTTTTAGAATCTTTCACAAACTTTCAAAAGTTAATTTTCAATATATAATAATTTGGCATCGTAAAAAATATTGATCTCACTATGTCATTAACAAACTAGCAAATCCACCAATAGAGACCTTTAATTTTTCAATCACCAAGTACTAACCGTTCAATAATATTTATAATATTTTTATAAATTTGATAAATATGCATATGAAAAAAATCATTAAGAGTGAAAAAATATTCGTGTAAATTGGTTGTTGCACTATGTACGATGAAACATAACTAATTTATCGCATATGATGTAGTAACCATTTGTACTAGTGTCTTTTCACTATTAGCAATTTTTTTTAAATATATGTTTGTTAGAATTAAAAAAATATATAAATATTATTGAATATATGGTACAATTAAAAGATTAGAGGTTTTTACTATTAAATTAAATAACTCATACGAAAAAAACATTAAAGATCATAGCAAAAGACATCCAATATTTTTGTGTCAAATATTGATCAAAAGATTACAATAAAAAAATTAAAGTAAAAAATTTATTTCAAAAATAAATTTTTGAATAATTGCAATGCTTTCCAAAAATGCATTAATGGATAATTACAATAGTCTCTAGAAATGTCTTTTTTGATATAGTAAAAAAGTTTTCAAAAATAAATTTTAGTACGTTAAATAAATTTTCAAAAATTTGTTTCCGTTAACTTACCGAGAATGAGTGTAAAGAACAAAAAAATATTTAATTAATAAGTGTTTAAGTAATTTTTTTATAGCTTAATTTTTTAAGGTGTGTTGAGAGTTTTTTTTTTTTTTTTGTGCAAACAGCAACACTCCTTAAATTTATTACAGGTAGTCGAAATGACAATTTTAGCCTTTACAACAAATTTTTTTTACTTATCCAAAAATAAAAATGTTTCTTTTATTTTTAAGTTTTTGCTTTTTAATTTGAAAACAAAATTCAAATAGTAAAGTTCTTTTTGATTACCAAAGAGAAAATGGTTATAAAAAAAATAAAATTTTATTTTGCTATCTCTGCAATTAAATTTTGTTGTAACTTTTAATCGTTAGAAAATATTATTGACTTTTGCATCCAAAATGGAAAGGTCACTTGAGCTGTGAAAGGACTGGAGGCTTAAGACGGGAGGTTGCTGGTGGCGGTGGTGATGGTAAAGAAGGGTATAAGAATTGGATCGGGTTGGTTTTCCTGGGCTTGAAAATGGAGAGTATATGGCTTTGAACTTGATAGTTTTGGGTTTAAACCATATAAATGGTTTATGACATGTGTAAACCACCGGTTTGCCCTTTCTGATTCAATTGGGCCTTTATCTTGGTTCTTTCAACAAAAAAAGCCCAAGCTTCATTCTTACAACGGCAGAACATTATTTTATATACAGACGATTAAGGTTTTTAATTTCACAAATGAGTTTGGCGCTTAGTAATTTGGATTTTAAAAGCTTTAAATTTTAAATTTAATAAATTATAATAAAGCATATTTTTATGGTTATTTTTAATTTTATTGATTTTTTTTTTTACTACGGAGATTAAAAGTTTAAGGAAAAACAAATATTTATAAATGTTGAGGGTTAAATTTTAAACTAGAAATAATCCATTTCTTTTAGGTTTTGTTGGATTATATTTTTCCAATAAATAAGTATATTAAATCTTAACTAATATATAAATAATGTGTGTATTTTTTTCATAATTTATATAATTAATTAAATATAAATTTTCTCTTTTAAATTTATCTTTTTAAACATAAATTATCACATATTCATTCAATTATAATTAAAAATTTTACTATAATGTCACGAATCTGCTCATTGATATCTTTAAAAAAAATTAGAAGATAAATTTGAGTCATAGCCGTAAATTGCTTTACAGCTCTTTGCTTATATAAATATAAAACAAAATACTATGTTTTGCAATTTTTATTTAAAAAAATTGGTTAGAAACTTGCAAAAAAAAAAGAGCTCCCCACATCTGTTTTTTTTTTTTTTTTCTTGTTTTTTTTATTATCTTTCTAATCAATAATCAACCAAATTTTTTTCAGTTTAGTTATAAATTTCTTCCCCTTTTTGTCCTCCTTTTTTTTTTTATTAAATGGTTGCCAACAAATTCATTTTGATTTTTTTAATTTAAAGAAACATATAATTTAATTATTATTGATGTAATTTTTACTATATATATACATATATATTTATCAATATACTTTATACATTGACAAACTCTTAAATATTCATTAAAACCTAATTTAACAATTTCACATTATACAATATATTAACAAGTGGTTGGTTCAATCGATTAATATCGTTCTTCTCGACGAAGAGATTTAAGATTCGAGTCTTATCGATAGTAATTTGTTAGGATCATCTCAAATGCACAACTTGTAACTACTTATTATAGATTGTTAGGTATGAGATATCTTACTTTAATTTTAAGACTGAACAGTTATCTATTCTCAAATTTTTTTATCATCATTTCAGATTGATTGTAGAATATAAATGTTTACCCTTTACCCATATTAGATTAATTAATCAAGCATTATTCAAATTTAGGATACAAAAAATTCACAAAAGGATTATTCGGTTATTGATCAAGGGTTAGCATTCGTTCCATGATAAATTATGCTTATGATGATTGTAGGATTAAGATACAGGAGAAAGAAGGAAAGAGAAAAAGTAGAAGCATAGAGGGAGGACAGAAAAAATAAAAATTTAGATGATTATTAAATTTTAATTCATAAATTTTTTTACCCTTTTGCCTTAAAATAGTAACGTTCGATAAATTATGCATCTTTCAAGGGCAACAATAATAGATTGTTTTGAATGGAAAGACCAATGGCATTAATCCAAGTGACACCTGCGGTCATGGTTCAAGTCTTGTGACGAATTAATATTTAGGAAGAAATTCAAGAAAGCTTTATGTGAACAACTGTTGATGAAATGTGAAAGTTTTTTTTTTTTTTCTGGATGCTTAGCGTGGTAGGTAAAGGTGGAAGTGTGAGTATATAAAACTATTATTTTTATATAAATATATTTATTATATATATATATATATTTTTAACCTTAATCAACCTTAAAGCCAAGGGTCAAGGGACGCCTTTCTTCGCGTGGCGTTAATTTAGATGCCAATAATTTTGAGTTGAATTAAATAAATTCAGGTTTATTTAAAACGAATTAAATGAGGTTTTCATATTCGGATTAAAGATTAACAACTCTCCACTCTAATTAAAAAAATTTATATAAAATATTATAAGTGTAACCCGTAAAGTTAATAAAAATTAAAATTAAAATTGATAAATTAAAAATTTTAATCAAATAAATTAAATGTATAAAATTTAAAAAAATTTAATAAATTTTAATATATTTATTAAATAAATATTTTTAATAAAAATTTTATCATTGAATAAATATAAATCAAATTTAAATTATAAATAATATTTTTATAATATTTTATATATTATTAATTTTCACAATAAATTTTATTAATCTATTAATTTAAATTTTCATCAAATTTTTTATTTTTTTATTTTTAATAAAAAATTTTACGAAATTTATGTAACTTGACGTAAGTTTTATCCCTCTAGCAAACTCATACCTGAGACCTACTGTTATGCCATTAAGTAGATCAGTCTCATTTGCCAACGTAAGAGGCAGACCGAGAGGCTACCGCTAAGGCAGCAGTTGCAGGTTCCAAATTACAATACAAGTAGCAAAACAAAAGCAACAGACAATCTAGCCTGTCAGATCTTGTTTTTCCTGTTGATGGGCGAGGTCGAGAAAAAATAAATATCAGATAGCAATTGCCATCCACAAGCTAGCCTGTGCTTGCCGTTCCAGTTTATTAGTACAATCTAGTTTCATTCGTACCCTACTTTCCTGCTACCCAAATTGCAGTCCCTTATCTCTTCTACTACCCTTTCGTATCTCAAATTGTGGGCAAGTTTTTCTTTCCTTTTTTTTTCTTTTACAATAAATTATTTATGCGGTACACCATTTCCATCTAACACACATTTACCTAAAACAATGAAGGCATTTTTTTTTTTTTGAAAATAGGAAACATCTCAAGTAAAATACTAGTATGCACTTGGAATGAGATTTTATTGAAATAATAATTATTTCTTTTACATATGAAACTCTTTGTTCTTGCCGTTCAAACATCAACTGTGAAAAAGGAAATTATATAAAAAATCAGGACACCAGTTAATGCCTAGGAACGTGGATAGGGAACCACGGTAATCTGTCCCAGCTGCTTTCACTGGCTTAGATCTCAGTCCATTGCAAACCCTAGCCATTGAGTATCTGTTGCCATGCAAGGCAGGTACCAAAAATAAACCCCAACCTGCTATGTAATGAAATGCAGGGCCAAACTTCTCAATTTCAGTAGCTTACCTCAATTCTAACTCCTTCCTTGAGTAACTAGGACCTGTCATATAGATCCACCTTTAAGCACATAGGCAGGTATCCAAGCAATCCGCAATGAGCCTGCTTGGGTAAAAATATACCAAGTGTGTTGAATCATGCAAGCTTAATTGGTTTTTGGTTTTGTAAATCCTTTAGTCCAAGTCCCCCCTGTGACTTATGATGACAAATGAACTCCTAATTGACTCTTGCTCCTCTAGCTGTATATCCTAAGTTGAGAGCAACTTAGGATGCCAAATTTTATAAAATTATCTCATCTATTCATTAGACTATACTTAAAGTAATGGTATAATTAAAACGTGTTGTCAAGTATCAATAAGGTGTTGGCCAAAAAGAAAAGCTCTAATAAGTTGCATTTTCTTCTTGATTCTTGGAATAAAAAATTGATGATTTTTTCTTAAAAAAATATATGATTTTTCGAAACTTTTCCATCTACAAAACCTTACAAAAGTGGGCTTTTCTTGTTTTTGACAGACAACAAAGTGGATCTTTGAGAACAACATGCCAAATCTCACTTTTTCACCGATAATTTCCTTTTCCATTTTTGCATGGAAATGAAACTTTCTTTGAAGAAATAGAATTCTACAAATGAGGACCAAATCCACCTCCAAGATCGTAAAGAAATCAAGACGGGGAAAGGGGGGTTACTGAAACAGTTGTAATTATATGAACAACAACCAAGCTTTGCAGTCCTAGAAATTCAATGCCCAATTAACATTTACCGTCTCTAGAAATTGCCGTGAAAATGAGACATTAGGCAAAGCATTCGGTTGATCCTTTTTTCTAAATAAAAAATTTAAGATTTTTGACAAAAATTAAAGTTTCGTTGGGTTGATTTTTTACTTTTTATTATTTTTTTAATAAAAAAGGAAACCCATACAGTACTAAGATTAAAAATTCTTAAATGGGTGGGCTCAAAATCAGGAGCAAAAATGTTAGGGCAGCACTAAGGAAAAATAAATATTAATTGTTCACCAACATAGAACAATAATAATAATAATAATAACTTGAAACAAATAGGAAGGGCAGTTAAATACGAACTTATTAATTATTAATAAATAAATGTAGAATAAGAAAACAAATTAAAAAAGTTTTGTAAGACGGTCAAGAAGCACAGTATCAACAAAAGTGCTTGGTAATAATAATAATAGAGTAATTGTAGCATTAGCCTCAGGCAGTCAGGCTCATGTTCTCTCCTCTGTTCTTGTGAAAAGCGCAATCGGCCAATCGCCCCTACTTGAAGCCAAAAAAAGCAGAGACCAGAGGGTGTGGAAAAGGAAATCGATCATAGACAGAGAAGGAGAGAGACATGGGTTTCGCAGCAGCAGCCAAGCGAAACGCCCAAACCAGCAGCAACAGCAACAAAGAAAGCAGGGGCTTGGGTTTACTACTCGTGTTCTTCCCTGAAGACCAAAACAAAATCAACAATTCCATTGATAACAAAAATACTACATCAAGATTCATTCGAAGAACAAGTTCCAGTCTCCTTTTCACCAAAGCTCAATCTACCATTTCAATCTGTGCTCTTTTAGTTTTCCTTACTCTTCTCCTCTTCACTCTCTCTACTTTTGAGCCCTCCATCCCTACTCCAACTACTCCTTCCTCCACCATCAAAAACTCTCGTCGATTCTTAGCCCAAAAAACCCAAGTTTCTTCTTCTTCCTCTTCCCATTGGTTCTTTCCAATGTGGGATTATAAACCCTTACGTGTGAAGCAAAAGCCCAACACTTTTTCCTCTCCATTCGCTTTACAAGGGATGGGAACTTTGTGTAGACGTGGGGCAAAAGCCATGAACGATCTTATAGTTAGCCATGTTGTTGAAGATGTGAGTGAAGATGAACTCAGGCTTTTCTTACGAGTCTTGCATAGGTCAGGCGTCACTTCAAAAGCTGACACTGTTTTTCTTTTTGGTTCTTCTTCTTCATCTTCAAGATTCAGCTTTGTTATTCAGGAAGAGAACGAGTCGTTCTTGAAACTCATTCAACACTACAAAGAGTCGAATAATAAGGGTTTCCGTGACTCTGTCTTCAGTTTTGACTCGACCCAGTTTTGGAAATCTGGGAAGAACGATGTGGGGGAGCCTATTTGGGGAAAGAAGGGCCGAGGGAATTATATTAATTCAACTGAAGCTGGAGATGAGTCAACTCGGTTGACTTATGGCTCCATTGTGGGATTTGATGTGAATGAGTTGGATCCAGAGAACTCGCTGGCTGGGTTTTTAGATTACGTTCCAATGAGTTTGAGAAGATGGGCTTGTTATCCAATGTTATTAGGAAGAGTCAGGCGAAATTTTAAGCATATAATGTTACTGGATGTTAAAAATTCGATGTTACTGAGTGACCCGCTCGGGCGTGTCAGGAATCGGAGTCCCGAGTCGGTTTATTTATTGACCAAGGAAAGCAGCTCCGGCAAGCATAGCAAGAAGAACTCGGAGAAAACTCAGTCTCATTGTCAGGTTAACTCGGCGATTTTGATGGGTGGAGCTAGAGGAATTCGGAGATTAGCCAATGCAATGTTGACTGAGATTGTTAGAGCTACAATGCAGCATAGGAAGAAGAAATCGATCTCCGAATCAGCAATCTTGAGTCAACTCGTCGGCAATGGTTACATATTGAAGAATGTTAATTTGATCAAATCGACCGAGTCAATTCAGGAAGCGAGCTCACTCAAGGGTTGGAACACCAACTCATCTGCAGATTATTCAATAATCCAACATGGCAATAGTAATCACGATCTTAATTCCATAATTATGAAGCTAATATGTTCAAATGAAGCAGATTCTTCTGTTTATAGGGATTGTTAGCAAAACAAAGAAACAAAAAATATATATTAACTACACTTTTTAGAAAATAAAAAATTTGTATAAATATTTTTTTTTGTTTTTTCCACGTGATGTCTACAATATTTTTAGATTATAAAAGTAAGTTAATGTGAAGTAGATTCTTGTCTAAAGAACAAATAAAGAAGATTTCTATTTTTTAGAAAATAAAATATTATATGATGAAGTTTTGTTTGTCATTTTTTTTTTAAATTTTGTATATATAACTATATTTATACCATAAATTTTGGTACTATATGGGAAAAAGGGTAAGGTGTAGAGTGAAGAGATAATTAGGGATGGCATCGGGTCGGGTTCGGGATAAGTTTTGCTCGTCCTGAATCCGACTCGATTTTATGGTTCATTGAATTCGAATTCGATTTTATTCGATTTTTTTAATATTCGAACCCGATTCGATCCGATATTACGTAAATCGTATCGATTCGATCCAATTCGAAATTAATAAAATATTATTTTTTAAAATATAAAATATTATTTTTAAAATATAAATATTTAAATATAATTATATAAATATATATAATTAAATAATTAATTAAAAATAATTTTTTATATAATGTCGAATCAGATTTTAAGCATATCCGAATCCGACTGCTCCATAACTATACCCGATCCGACCTTAAACTTGAAATTCAAAAAAAAAAAACTCAATTTCACATGATCAAATTGAATTGAAACTCATTAGAAACGGGTTTGATTACCGTCCCTAGAAATAACATTTAATTATATTATTCAAGTTCCCTTGAGGGATTTCGAAATTGTTAGAAATCAAAATTAAAAAATACTTTACCAGTTTTTTTTTTTTTTTTTTTTTAATTGTTCTTGTATCAAAACGTAAAATTTTCCTTTGAATTGTTATGTTGATCAATGGTGTGAATAAGTAAAGCAAAAAAACAACAAATTCAACCATTGACCAACATAAGAAACAGCCCATTCAAAGTGCAATCATTACCATACATTTTCCACCGCTAAACAGGTCAAATTCCACTCTCATAGAATAATAGAAAATTTTGTTGAGATTAAGATTTAAATTTTAAATTTATTAATTATCATTTTTAAAAGAATAATTATATAAATTAATTAAATTTAATATCAAGATTATATATATATTTTTTCTTTTGTCATTTGATCGAATAATGAAATCTTAAGTGAATCTTTATCATATTCATCATGCACATTAATTTTTTGTCCCAAATGACCCAATTTCTTACTTACCAAGCACAAAAACTTAGGAGCATGAAAGCAAAGGTTGGAGCCTTGGAGGCTTGATTTGGTTGTGCCAGCTTCTTTCTAGCTGCATAGTAGGTGAAAAAAAATTTATTATTTTGTTCGATAACCAGGTAATCAAATTACACGTGGACGAAATGTAAATTTATAAATTTATAAATATTTATTTAAAATTTGATTATCAAGCACTTATATATTAATTAATATTTCCTCGGTTCAATTCACTTTGTCCATTTTTTTATAGATATTTCAAAGTTATATCCTCTTTTTTAACACTTAAAATTCTATTTTTATATTCTAAATTTAAATTTTATGATTTTTTAATTTTTTGTTATTAAAAATCATGAAGCAAAAATTTTATATAAAAATTAAAATTTTAATATTAAATATAACAAAATCAATTTATTTAAATTTTGTAAAAATAAAAAAGCTATTAATAATTCAGGACAAAGAAATAGGAATATCAATTGTTAAGGGATGGGGATAGCAGCGCTTTTCTCATCCTCATTCCTAAATTTTTATATTATTATCATGTTCAATGAATATTTTAAATTTATTTTTATTTTTATTGGTATTTAATGAATATGAGTAATTTTTATACGATAATTTTTTTAAAAAATTTTAGCTATTTTATATTTATTTTATATATTTATGTAAATTTTAAAATATATATTAATATATATTTTTTCAATAAAAATATATTAATTTTAAATAATAATTTATATTATTTAATTAAAAATTTTATTTACTAAAAATATATAAATATATATGTAAAGTATGAAAACGAAATGAATATTATATCATTTGTCCCTATATCCATATTAATAAAAATTTAAAATTATACTCATTTTTATTCTTATATCCATAATATAATATTTATTTCAATTCTCATTCCAATAAAAAGTCGAGTTTTAAATATAAGTAAAATTAACATTTCTACAAAGAAAGTAATAATTAAAAGGTAAATGTCAACCAACGCTTAATAACATAGATTTAGGTTATATTTAAGGAAAGAAACTCATAATTAATGCATTGTCTTTTATTGAATTTGATAAAGTAGTGTATTAAATATAAAAATATTTTCAAATAACATTTTAATTAATCTTAACCAGTTTTGGCACAAAAAAAAAAAAAAAAAAAACCTTAACCAACGCACCATTAACCAAACTAATAACAACATTATTTTAAGAAAAAAAAATCTAATGAAACATTTTCATCAAAATTTAAGGAGATCTATACATTAATTAAAATTTTTTTTCATAAATGTCATTTTAATATTCAAGCCTCAATAGCTGTGTGATATATTGATAAAATATTTTAATTTTAAATATTAGCATTACAATTTAATCATTGATAGTTTCAAATACCAAAAAAGTAATTTTTATTTATTTTGTTATAAAATTTATGAAAAATAAAAAAAAATGAAAAAGAAAATTTTTGGAATGAGAAATGGAAGTGAATACATTGATTAAAACCACGCGGATGAGGCTGTGATCCGCTTTATGCTGTTTTTCCCTTTTTAAGCTTTTATATATAGCACCAAAGTAATGCATTCGATCGCGTTTGTTTCACTTTTGCCAGCAATGTTCCAACCGACCAAATCAAAGTCCCTCCCTCTGTAAATTTTAAAAAAAAAAAAAAAAACAATCACATGCCTTTGGAATAATTAAAAAAAAAATCGAAATTTGTAAGCATGCAGGAAACTATGTATGTATTGGCTACATCGACTTTCCCCTCTCTTAACCTAGTGGTTAAGAAACGGATCGACAATTATGTAAGCGTAAGTTCGATCTCATCATCTTTCCCCTCCTCTCCTATCTTGTAAGAGTACTAACCCTCCTTTATCAAATATATATATATATATATATATATATATATTAGCTACATCCAATAAGATATTTCTTTTACCTATTTTAATTTAAATGCAGACATATTAAATTTTCCATTCACTGACTTGCGGATCAGAAGAGTTTATCATTAATAGATTATGAAGAATTGATGGCAGACTTTGTCAGGGTTCAGCGGTCATCACGCATTGGACAGAGATTGGAGTTTCTCTTTCTTTTCTTTAATACATATTTAAAAAAATCAAGTTTCTAAACCTGATAGGATGAGCTAAACCTTAAGCAGATCTCTTAAAAAATCAACCAAATCTGATTCAGTCTGAATCACAATTGTTTTGTTTTATATTATTCAAGTTGTTAACATAAAAATAATGCCCATAAATTGAAGGAGGCTTAGGCATATTCACATGCTCTTATCCAAATCCATAACGTAAGTCGTGTCTATAAACCTGTAACATAAAAATATCAACATATACATGTTTTCTATTGTACAGAGTATCTAGATAAATTAACATAAAGCATATCATGTGAAGATAAAATATTACATGTTCATAAAATCTATAAGGAGAACAATTCAAAGTTTAGAATTTAAAAATTTTTATCTTTAGAGATTTTGGGGCTCAAGTTTGAAAGTAAATAGAATGAGATTTGTGGAATATAAGAGAGTTACTTCTCATTTTGTAGTTCAAAATTTTCATATATAAACTATAATTTTTAAAATTTTGAAGTTGATTTCATCGTTCTTACTCTTTTATTTTTTTCAAATTACGAATATGAGTTACAACCATAAGTATAATTATATAAGAAATTACTAAATAATCAAACAAACAAGTCAACATAAAATTGAATTAAACTTAAATACATTGTAACTTGAATTTAAGACATCATAATTTAAGAATCTCTTTGGTATCACAAAATCAAGGTTTCATTGGCTATACCTTTTTATTTTTATTATTAAACTAAAAAATGTTAATATAAAAAAATTTTAAAATGTTATAATGTTGTTATTTTAATATAAAAAACTTTAAAAAGGCAATCCACTGACACGCACCCAATGCATTTCATCACATCATTCATTCATGAAAATTACAGCCAAGTTTTGTTGGATTTTGAGGTTGAGATGCTAGTGGGTCATTGGAAGGAAAAAAAAAAATCGAAGAAAGTATAAATTTTGATCGGAAAGGAAGGCTCAATCGAATTTTAATCAAATTTTAAAATTTATGGTTGAGTATGAATTTTTTTATTGTATCAACCTGACTTGCTCAATTGCACTTCGTAATTCATAGGTGATAATTATGCTTTTTTTTTTTTTTTAATGATATTCTCATTAGAAATTGTTATCTTGTTTGGTGCATACATCCAAGGCGCAAATCAAGCCTGTTGCTGACCAACTTTTACTATTAATTAATAAATCTTTGATCTTAGCTCCATGGTCTGCTACAAATTGGCACAGCTCCAACATTTTTTCACCGAAACTAATATAAACAAAGACCTAGTTTTCCTTTTTTAAGGAATGTGCTTATGATTAGACAAGCTCCCAATAATTCAGGAGATTTTGCTGTGAGTTATTACCTTATGTTGGACCCAAACAGAAAGAAAAAAAAAAAGCAGTATGTAGATAGCAATGATGATCAATGAAAAAGGCTATCATCAACCATCTCTTTTTTATAATCAATCAAAATTGGTAAGTTTTGAGCTAGATAGTGTTGTGGTTGAGAAAATGGCTCCTCTCCATCAACTTAAACAAGAATGCTTTTCTTTTTTAATGTTCAAATTCGAAGCAAAATGACAAGCATTTTCAAACACATATATATTGGATTCTAAATTAAAATACTGTCCCTTTATAAAAGTCGTAGGTTTCTCTGAAAAGTTATGGTTTATGGTTTGTTTAAAGGTATGCACTGTAATTTTAAATATTTGAGAGGTTTTTTCTTTTTTTTTGTATGAAAATGTTTAGGAGCAGGTGAAGTTATTCCATTTTTGAATTTATGGTAAACCGTCAACTCATAAAGAAATTTATAATTTTTTTTTTGTTTGAGAATTTTTTTGATTTATAGATAATCAAAAATTTTAAGAATTTAAAC